GCTAAAGCTAGGCTAAATGCTAAAGCTAGGCTAAATGCTAAAGCTAGGCTAAATGCTAAATGCCTCACTCACTCGGGCTCATTACATACGTCACAGTAAACTCAGATCCAATGGTTTCAGTCTGTAAAAGGAGTTAGCCCCTCCCACCTGTTAACGGAGTCAATGGAGCAAATCCAGACCTTAGTATGAAATGAAATGAGTACCGTGGTGTGGTAAGACCAGGCTAGCATAATAATGAAGCAAGTCTAAAACCTCCAACTTTAGCATAGATCTGCTTTGTCGCTCAGAGTCAAGTGGGGAGTCACAGAGCCAATACAGGGTGATGTGGCTTGTTTTACATTTTATCTTCATCAAATCCAAATATAAATATAATATAAACATTCATATAGAAAGAACCCTGGGAGTCACTATTTGACTTTTGAGGCCGAGAGCTGATTGGTGCAAAGCTGACTGAGGCAAAAAATACATGATTGTGACAGAACCAAACTGTTTTAGAGCCAGGAACTAAGTAAGTGTGGCGCCACCTGCAGGTCAAAGACAGATTTGGTCAAACCTCTGCAGCTATTTAGGGCAGGTCCTGGTTAGTCCTGAGATGGGAGACCTGTGCACTTCACCCAAACGGCCCAGGATAAGTCTGGTGTGTGTATGGTTGCTGGTGGTGGGCGGGGCCAATGGCACAGAGCGGTTGCCTCGTGTGTGCCCCAGGGCAGCTGTTTCCACCACTGTTTATGGAGTGAATTAATATGTTTTTTTGAGCGTCTAAAAAAGCGCTGTGTAAACCAATGCATTATGACATGGGTTTTGTTTTACATATGTACACAAAGTCTAGAGTATTTGTTTTCTTGTCATCCGTCCACCGCTTTAAACTTTAGATATGCGTCCCCAAAAGCTTACTCATCTGAAAGCTGTAGATAAAAGTGAGAAATGGAAGTTGGCGTGTTGGCAGATCACAGTGGCAGCAGCTCCAGTGCTCGTGTGGACCGGGAGATATCGATCGGCTGCTTTTGCATGCCGAGCTTTACGGATCACTTAACAAACAAACTATGGCATTTCTGAGAGAGGCGCAGAAGTCCAGGTCAGAGCTCTCACTCCAGCAGCAAACACTCCCGCGGACTCTGATCTGTGCTTTTCCACACAAGAGACGCGACTGACGTGACGTGTGCGGAAAGGTAAAGCCGGGCCTCCTCACTCATGGATTATAAATGTTGTCTGCACCAACTGAAAAGAAATAGTCTCGTAGAAGTAAGGCAAGGCAAGGCAAGTTTATTTGTATAGCACAATTCATACACAAGGCAACTCAAAGTGCTGAACAAGAAAGCATTAAAATCATAAATAATGACAGAACATTAGAAGGAAAGATAAAAATATAAAATCCCTCAGTTGTAGCACAGCTAAACAGAACTGTCTTTAACCTGGTTTTAAACATTGTCAGAGAGGAGGCCTGTCTCACATCTTCAGGAAGATTATTCCAGATTTTAGCAGCATGAATCTGAAAAGCTGCCTCCCCATGTTTAGTTCTGACTCTGGGCACTAACAGGAGTCCAGTCCCTGTGCTCCTCAGAGTCCCAGCAGGAGTCCAGTCCCTGTGCTCCTCATAGTCCCAGCAGGAGTCCAGTCCCTGTGCTCCTCAGAGTCCCAGCAGGAGTCCAGTCCCTGTGCTCCTCAGAGTCCGGGCTGGTTCATATGGGACTAACATGTCACTAATATAGTTTGGTGCGAGGCCATGGTGAGATTTGTACACAAGCAGAGCTGTTTTAAAGTCTATTCTCTGAGCCACAGGAAGCCAGTGCAGAGACCTGAGGACCGGACTAATGTGGTCGTACTTCCTGGTTCTAGTCAGGACTAATGTGGTCGTACTTCCTGGTTCTAGTCAGGACTCGAGCTGCTGCATTTTGAATGTACTGCAGCTGTTTTACAGCCTGTTTGGACAGACCTGTGAGCAGGCCATTGCAGTAGTCTAACCTACTGGAGACAAATGCATGGATAAGAATCTCCAGGTCTGCTTTAGACACTATGTTTTTGATCCTGGCAATGTTTTTTAGATGGTAAAAAGCTGCTGATGTTACTGATTTGATGTGGCTATTAAAATTTAAGTCTGAGTCCAGTATTACTCCTAGATTTCTGACCTTGTTTGAAGGTTTTAGGGACAGAGACTGGAGGTGACAGATGACGCTCTCTCTTTGTTTCTGGACCAAAGACAATCATTTCAGTTTTGTCTGCGTTTAGCTGAAGGAAGTTGTTTTGCATCCACTCACTGATCTGTTGGATACAGTGAAGGAGTGAGTCCACTGGTCCATGTTCTCCTGCAGTCAGTGAGACATAGATCTGAGTGTCGTCTACATAGTTGTGATAGGACACTTTGTTTCTGCGTATTAACTGACCTAACGGCAGCATGTAGAGATTGAACAGAAGAGGTCCCAGGATCGACCCCTGTGGTACTCCACAGGTCAGGGCCATATGATCTGAGACACAGTTTCCAATCTCCACAAAGTACTTCCTGTCTTCAAGGTAAGACCTAAACCAACTTAGGGCGATGCCAGCACCAAGTACAATGTTGTTAACAAATCAGTCCTTTAGATGTATTCAAGCTTACACTTTTACCTTGTCTTTTAACCCTTAAAAGACGATGCCATCGCCGACGATGGTGGCGCACATGTTTTACAAATTATCAATTTACTCGCAAATGATGAACGCTAGCGACTTACTGCTACATATGGAGGATAAACTACGTGTGTATGAAAGTCAGTCCCCCAAACGGATCTTCGAGCGGTGCCCCGTGAGCCAGGCACAGCCGCATGTAAAGTTGTTTACACACACGGGGACTCAGACAAAGATTGTCAGAGAGTAAGATGCCTTACTCCCCTGTGTGTACTTGTTGCTGCACAGGCAGCAGCACTCAGAGGAACCAGAGGAGTGCACATTATTGAGAATAGACAATAATAAATACAGTAAAATTATATTATGTGTATATAATGTATTTGTATATATAAATTAGATGTTTTTTTTTTGTCTTAGTTTCTTTTGTTTTACATATTTTACAGCTGTGATACAGAAGCAACCACAGCCTCATAGACAAACTGCTTGAGGAAGGGCATCAGGAGTACAGCGTTTTTGGCTTTTATAGTGGAATTTTGTAAAAAGTATAATAGTTACGGATTCAAATTTTTTCCCCATTATCCCCATGACCCAAAATAACATTTCTATGCAGTGTAAACAGTTGTTTATAACATTTAATTGTGTTTTTCAATACATTTTTGTGAAATTGATTTTGGAGCAACAACAAGGTGAAAGGAGCACAGGGTTTAAGTGCTACACAGGGACACACAACCAGAGGAGCACAGGGTTTAAATACACACAGGTACACACAACCAGAGGAGCACAGGGTTTAAATACACACAGGTACACACAACCAGAGGAGCACAGGGTTTAAATACACACAGGTACACACAACTAGAGGAGCACAGGGTTTAAATACACACAGGTAAACACAACCAGAGGACCACAGTGTTTAAATACACACAGGTACACACAACCAGAGGAGCACAGGGTTTAAATACACACAGGTACACACAATTAGAGGAGCACAGGGTTTAAATACACACAGGTAAACACAACCAGAGGACCACAGTGTTTAAATACACACAGGTACACACAACCAGAGGACCACAGTGTTTAAATACACACAGGTACACACAACCAGAGGAGCACAGGGTTTAAATACACACAGGTACACACAACTAGAGGAGCACAGGGTTTAAGTACACACAGGGACACACACACGCACGCAAACAGACACACACAAACACATACAAACGCAGACACATAGACACACACACAAACACACACATACAAGCGTGCAGACACAGACACACGCACACATACAACACAAACACACACACATACAGACACACACACACAAACGCAAACAGACACACACAAACACACACATACAAGCGCGCAGACACAGACACCCGCACACATACAACACAAACACACACAGACACACATACAAGCGCGCAGACACAACACAAACACACACACGAATACAACACACACACACACGAATACAACACACACACACACACGAATACAACACAAACACACACACAAATACAACACACACACACACACGAATACAACACACACACACAAATACAACACACACACACACACAAATACAACACAAACACGAATACAACACACACACACACACACAAATACAACACGCACACACGAATACAACACACACACACACACACAAATACAACACACACACAAATACAACACACACACACGAATACAACACACACACACACACACAAATACAACACACACACACAAATACAACACAAACACACACACAAATACAACACACACACACACGAATACAACACACACACACAAATACAACACACACACAAATACAACACACACACACAAATACAACACACACAGGTTAAACCCATGAGGCGGGAGGCATCAACAGGACAGACGTGCGGTAACACTGTAAAGAACCATTAAATCAAAATAAAACCAGGAAAAGTCCTCAAAAAGTTTGCTCCAAAACATTTCCTGTCAATCAAACTGAACAGAACAGTCCGGTCTCGAGAAGTCCCAACCTCGTTCCAAGACACGTTTACTCACCTTCAGAAGTCCGGAGCTCTTTCATGTCTTAAAAACCTGATCCGAGCCAGAGTCTGATGAAGCCCTAATGAAATAACTATCTACGAGTTTTAATTAATTCTTGTAATTATTAGCGTAGCTCAGACGTGGATCACATCAGAGCCTTTTAATTCGGCGCTGACACAAAGGCGGTTCTGTGACGCCGACATTTGCCAGCGCTGTTTGAACACGCCTCATCGCTCCCTCAAAGGTCGCCCAGAACACTTCCAATATTTGGCAATTAGAGTTCAAAGCTAACGACCGCCATCGCTCACCGGAGACTGAGACACGGTGGGAAAGGGGAGGCAAGATGGAGGACGCAAGGTGGAGGAGGCAAGATGGAGGACGCAAGATGGAGGACGCAAGACGGAAGATGCAAGATGGAGGACGCAAGGTGGAGGACGCAAGATGGAGGACGCAAGACGGAGGACGGAGGACGCAAGACGGAGGACGCAAGACGGAGGACGCAAGATGGAGGACGCAAGGTGGAGGACGCAAGAGAGGACGCAAGATGGAGGACGCAAGACGGAAGATGCAAGATGGAGGACGCAAGGTGGAGGACGCAAGATGGAGGACGCAAGACGGAGGACGGAGGACGCAAGACGCAGGACGCAAGACGGAGGACGCAAGATGGAGGACGCAAGATGGAGGACGCAAGACGGAAGATGCAAGATGGAGGACGCAAGACGGAGGACGCAAGATGGAGGACGCAAGATGGAGGACGCAAGATGGAGGACGCAAGATGGAGGACGCAAGACGGAGGACGCAAGACGGAGGACGCAAGACGGAGGACGCAAGACGGAGGACGCAAGACGGAGGACGCAAGACGGAAGATGCAAGATGGAGGACGGAAGACGCAAGACGGAGGACGCAAGATGGAGGACGCAAGATGGAGGACGCAAGACGGAGGACGCAAGACGGAGGACGCAAGACGGAAGATGCAAGACGGAGGACGCAAGACGGAGGACGCAAGACGGAGGACGCAAGACGGAAGACGCAAGATGGAGGACGCAAGATGGAGGACGCAAGATGGAGGACGCAAGATGGAGGACGCAAGACGGAGGACGCAAGACGGAGGACGCAAGACGGAGGAAGCAAGATGGAGGACGCAAGACGGAGGACGCAAGACGGAGGACGCAAGACGGAGGACGCAAGACGGAGGACGAAAGACGGAGGACGCAAGATGGAGGACGCAAGATGGAGGACGCAAGACGGAGGACGCAAGACGGAGGACGCAAGACGGAGGACGCAAGATGGAGGACGCAAGACGGAAGATGCAAGATGGAGGACGGAAGACGCAAGACGAAGGACGCAAGATGGAGGACGCAAGACGGAGGACGCAAGACGGAGGACGCAAGACGGAGGACGCAAGATGGAGGACGCAAGACGGAGGACGCAAGACGGAGGACGCAAGACGGAGGACGCAAGATGGAGGACGCAAGACGGAAGATGCAAGATGGAGGACGGAAGACGCAAGACGAAGGACGCAAGATGGAGGACGCAAGACGGAGGACGCAAGACGGAGGACGCAAGACGGAGGACGCAAGATGGAGGACGCAAGACGGAAGATGCAAGATGGAGGACGGAAGACGCAAGACGAAGGACGCAAGATGGAGGACGCAAGACGGAGGATGCAAGATGGAGGACGCAAGACGGAGGACGCAAGACGGAGGACGCAAGACGGAGGACGCAAGACGGAGGACGCAAGACGGAAGATGCAAGACGGAGGACGCAAGATGGAGGACGCAAGACGGAGGATGCAAGATGGAGGACGCAAGACGGAGGACGCAAGACGGAGGACGCAAGACGGAAGATGCAAGACGGAGGACGCAAGACGGAGGACGCAAGACGGAAGATGCAAGATGGAGGACGGAAGACGCAAGACGGAGGACGCAAGATGGAGGACGCAAGATGGAGGACGCAAGACGGAGGACGCAAGACAGAAGATGCAAGATGGAGGACGCAAGACGGAGGATGCAAGACGGAAGATGCAAGACGGAGGACGCAAGACGGAGGACGCAAGACGGAAGATGCAAGATGGAGGACGGAAGACGCAAGACGGAGGACGCAAGATGGAGGACGCAAGATGGAGGACGCAAGATGGAGGACGCAAGATGGAGGACGCAAGACGGAAGATGCAAGACGGAGGACGCAAGATGGAGGACGCAAGACGGAGGACGCAAGACGGAGGACGCAAGACGGAAGATGCAAGACGGAGGACGCAAGATGGAGGACGCAAGACGGAGGACGCAAGACGGAGGACGCAAGACGGAAGATGCAAGATGGAGGACGCAAGACGGAGGACGCAAGACGGAAGATGCAAGATGGAGGACGGAAGATGCAAGATGGAGGACGCAAGACGGAGGACGCAAGACGGAAGACGCAAGATGGAGGACGCAAGACGGAGGACGCAAGACGGAGGACGCAAGACGGAAGATGCAAGACGGAGGACGCAAGACGGAGGACGCAAGACGGAGGACGCAAGACGGAAGATGCAAGATGGAGGACGGAAGACGCAAGACGGAGGACGCAAGATGGAGGACGCAAGATGGAGGACGCAAGACGGAGGACGCAAGACGGAGGACGCAAGACGGAAGATGCAAGACGGAGGACGCAAGACGGAGGACGCAAGACGGAGGACGCAAGACGGAAGACGCAAGATGGAGGACGCAAGATGGAGGACGCAAGATGGAGGACGCAAGATGGAGGACGCAAGACGGAGGACGCAAGATGGAGGACGCAAGATGGAGGACGCAAGATGGAGGACGCAAGACGGAAGATGCAAGATGGAGGACGGAAGACGCAAGATGGAGGACGCAAGACGGAGGACGCAAGATGGAGGACGCAAGATGGAGGATGCAAGATGGAGGACGCAAGACGGAGGACCCAAGACTGAGGACGCAAGACGGAGGACGCAAGACGGAGGACGCAAGACGTAGGACGCAAGATGGAGGACGCAAGACGGAGGACGCAAGACGGAGGACGCAAGACGGACGATGCAAGACGGAGGACGCAAGACGGAGGACGCAAGACGGAGGACGAAAGACGGAGGACGCAAGATGGAGGACGCAAGATGGAGGACGCAAGATGGAGGACGCAAGATGGAGAACGCAAGACGGAAGATGCAAGATGGAGGACGCAAGATGGAGGACGCAAGATGGAGGACGCAAGACGGACGTCGCAATATGGAGGACGCAAGACAGGGGACGCAAGACAGAGGACGCAAGATGGAGGACGAAAGGTGGAGGATGCAAAACACAAGATGGAGGACTGAGGACATGCCGCGCAACGAGTCCATTGCCTTTAATTAGGTTCAGAACTATGTCGTGAAATCTCCTCCCTGCTGCTGTCAGACTGTACAAGGAGAACTGCTGAGTGCGTACAAGCGTCACTGATAATAATTTTCTCGTGACAGTGGGTAGAGCATTGGCCTTTGAGCCTGAAGGTTGTGGGCTCAATCCCACCGCAAGACCTTCTCCGCCGACTTCCACTGATGTCTGCCGTCATTGTGTCCTTGGGCAAGACACTTTACCCACTTTGTCTGTAAGGAGCGTGGAAGTGATGTTTGCTGCATGCCTTAATGTGTTTGTATATTTGTCAAACTGATATTTCTTCTTCTTCTTCCTCCTCTTCTTCTCGTTGCAAGGTCTATCCACACATCCGGAGTTCCAATCCCTCTTGACTTTCTTTCTTCCCCTCTTTGTGCATTCCTGTTTACTCTCGAGCAGCCGTCGGAATCCGTCGCTAAATGCATCCAACTCTGCTAAAGCTAATATCCTCAATCCGACGCTTTGTCACGCTGCTCCACAAATATGAATTGTCCCCAACTCTCACCTGTTCGCACTCGCAGCAACACACAATGCCTCTCCAATACCGAAAAAAAACCCCTCCCAGAACCCCCCCCATCTCATACAATAAAGAAGAAGACGGCTGGAAAATGTAATCGGCAACTCGAGATTGGTTCCAAAGAAATCCGTGATCTGTTTTTTGTCCTGAACTGCATTACATTTTGTCAGGTCGGACAAAGTTGTCAATCAAGCTGGCAAACCTATTTTAGCTTGTCAATGGGAAAGGGTAGAAAGGGGAGGCTTCTTCAATAGAGTGCCAGAGATTAGAGTGGGCCGAGCAGAGTGAGGTCGTTCTCTGGGCTGATGTATTGACACTGAGACTCCATCATCGGCCCACATTGTATCACACATTTGAACCTAGCGGACCGGGGCAAAGAGGCAATATGGCCGCCGGCTTTTCATTCCATTGCGTCCGGCTGCGGAGTTTCATTGTGTTTGGTGATTATAAGAACATTGGCAGTTGTTTGAAAGTGAAAAACAGTGATTGTATTTGGTCAAATTAGAGTTTATAATTAATTTTTTATTATTTTAATGAGTACAGCTATTGAGAATTTCTCTTCTGCCATGTGCTCCTCCTCCCTACTGTTCTGTAACTTGTAATGCAACATTGACATTTCCCCACCGTGGGACCAATCTCTTCATTTTCATCTTAATCTTATCAATGGGGCGACAGTGGCTCAGTTGGTAAAGAATTGGTCTTTGGGCCTGAAGGTTGTGGGTTCGATCCCCCCACGAGATCTACTCCAACTGCTCATGTCTGCTGCCGGTGTGTCCTTGGGCAAGACACCTGCAGGAGGCTCAAAGGGACTGGTGCTATGAGCGAAAGGGTGCAGCTCTGATTGTTATTATGAAGGTAATGAGTACTTGACTCGAGTGGTTTTTATCTTCAGGGTTTTTAGGATCTTCAGGATTTTCCCAATTTTTTGACTTTTTGAACCAAACTCTCCGGTCTTTTTGGACGAGCTCGTATCTCCAGAATGATTGACGATTGGGTTTAATAAGAAAATCCTCCTGAACACCTTAAACTCAAGCACATTGTGATTCTCCAAAGGACCAAAGACATTTATTCGTATATTGAGACCTGTAGTTTTATTTTTCATCATTCCACGGGACACATTTCTTTCTTTGAATTGACTTTTCTCTCGAACGTCTAAAATATCTGCATTTTTCATAAAGTAAAGCTTGACACATGCAACGTTTTTGTTTGATGAAATATATCCGTAAAATCTTGAAACATTCTAAATAATCTGGGTTGACCCACTTCTCAAAAACTATGGAACACGTGGATCAACCGACTTTTTCGATTCACACAGAAAGTATTTCATAACTTTTATTCATAGCTTTCTTCTTTTTTCTGCCTTTTCTGCCTTTTTTACAATTCAACTCAATTCTTTTGCATTTATTTTTTTCTCTAAAACTATCTCTGTATAATATTTACATCCCCATGGCTCCAGGACTGAGGCTGTAGACCCAGGAGTGAGGACTGTGGATCCAGGACTGAGGCTGTAGGGCCAGGACTGAGGCTGTAGATCCATCCTTATGCCTCCGAACTTAAACCTTCCTTATAGATGGTTTTCCATCACGTGCTTATTACCCATAATGCTTTGCACAAATGCCATGTTGTTTGTCTGGCTTATATTGCACCGATCGTTTGTCACGGATCATTTGTCCCCATGTCATCTAAAGCCGACACTGACCGTGTTAAGTATATTGATACACCGGAGTAATCTGTGAGGCAAGATCCTCGGAGAAATTGAGATTGATCGAAGATTTGGATTCATACGAAACACAGCGAGACCCGTGGACTTGGCCTGAAATGTCTTACTTTCACTTAACAGTTTTACAATTAATAAAAGATCATGATGTATATGATGCAATATTTCTTTTAATCAATAATTTATTTTGAACGAAGCAGTTGATATCACAGGCCGCAAATCACTTCTGTCTACCACCCTCCCCCTCTCGTTCATTTACAGGGGATCCTTGAGACCCATATATACAGTACATAGTATCACAGTCAAATCTCTGAATATAAACCACACATGCACAGATTTCGCTCTTACCTGTTATGAAATGGTCAGAACAGACCTGATAGTGCCGTTTTTCAGGGGGTTAGGGTTGAATCCCTCTCGGTTGATCCTCGCCAACTAAAGGGTCTTTTCTCCGTCGAGAGTCTCTCCCCTGGCTCGTAATAACCTTTGGAATGTCCCCACAATCTGCACGGTTACTGCACCCCCAAACGACGCAGGCAGTCGGCATGTTTTACCCACAATATGGCGAACTGCGGAATTGTGGGTAGTGCTTGACGTCAGTGGAAAACCATCTATCAAAAATGTATTAAGGGACATATTGTAACACTGCAGGGGTTTGTGTTAGTCTCTGCCTTTCTCCTTCTCCACCATTCTCTCTATACTCAGCAGAAATAAAACACAAACCTTCCAAAGCAGCCATTTCAGGTGGATCATCAGGAGCCCGGGCTGCTCACTCTACCCCGAGCTCCTCCCGGATCCTGGAGGGGTTAAAAGCACGTTAAGTATTCCCCACATGAATATTCCATCAAAAACGTCAACTCCTTCACAGGCTTTTAACGTCTAAGAACTGCTAGCTGAGAATGTCGGGTCTTCTCATCTAATATTCGACCAATCGTTGAACTAAAGTATTAATCCACACGAGCTTTGTGCTGCGTTTAAAGGCCGCATCAGCATTTTTTGTTCAAAGGCGGCGTTTGTGTTAATTCCCACGAAGGAAGTGGATCCGAGCGGAAGAAGGAGGGGGAGGAAGAGATCTGCTTTTTGAAGGTTTTCTTTGTAAGAAGCGGGTTTTACTTTTGTGCACCTGTTTCCTTTGATGCACATTTACACCGTGAAAGAACCAGGGAACAGACGTTAAAGCTGAGGGATGTAACTTTCAAACTGCAGAGACGTAATGCAGGACGTAGCGCTCAAAACAAGTGACTAGTTTGCACACGCCTGGCACCAAGTTTGTATAATATCCAATCCAGTTTATATATATACAGTAGCACGTTTATAAATCTAGATTCTAAAGTGCTGCGCAGAGATTAAATTAACATTTATATAGCAAACTAAGATACCCTTTCTGTGGAAAAGTAAAAACGGTAAAATCCGAGTCACTCTGATGAATAAAAAGTCCATTAATGAGGGAAAGGGACCGCACAGGGCCTTCTTCGGGGCTGTGTTAAAAACAGTTTAACAGGTGTTTAAATAGACACATGACGTCACCTGAACATCACGTGACATGACAACAACACCACAGTATATTATGAAGGCATACTGTAAATACCGTCACAACACATACATCCCAAAGAATACATTACACAGGAGGGGGCCCTCAGTGAACACCTTTTTTTAAATAATACAAACATTGCAAAAACACTGAAAAATCAACAGCATCATTTAACCCAAGAAAAACAGTAGCTTTAAAGGACAACTCACCCTCAAATCCACTTTTTTTTTCTGATAAACGGTATAAATGAGTGTCCAATAGTGTTGTCTACATATCCTGGTCATAATCTTGTCACTTTGGTGTAAATTAGTTGAAAGTTAGACTTTCTGCCTAAAACCGTCTGTGAGGCGCCATCTGCTGGCGACCTGTATTACTACATTTGAATTTTGAATCTGGCGCCAACACTGGCACAGAAGTTGGACCTGACGTCAGCAGCCCCCCGCCCAGAGCAATGTAAACGGCCCAGTCTCGTTCACGCCCCCTTTAGTCCTCCAGGCTACGCCCATTTAGAGGAAGATTTGAACAGGAAATGTGAGTAACGTAAGCTCCGAGGAGCGGGGGTGAGAACCACTTTAAGTTTATCGATCCAGAACGGTTCTCTGGATTTTCTCCTTTTTTTGTTTGAATTTTGGGTAAAAAGCATTCTGTATGGCTGCAGAAGGTTACATAATAATAACCTATAAAAATATATATATATATTAAACTTTATTACAGACACAAAGTCCAGTTAAGAAAGACATTACACAAAAACAAAAACAACAATAATCATAAAAATAAGCATACATGATTACAGCAGACTACTGTACCAGTGACGCCACAGTTCAGACTGATACCATGTGGCACTGATTCTGATGTTGGTCGGGCTCATTATGATCACATTCTGACTTTGATTCAGTCGACAAATAAATCTGTACATCAGGTTTCTTAGTACAGCACGAAAAGTTCGAATCCCAGAAGAAACAAATAATAGGCTGGCACTCTCCCACCGAGGCCTTTTCAACAGGATTCTTAGGCAGTCATTGTAAGCCACATGTAGCTTCCGCACGCTGGATTGTCTATAGTTCGACCACAGATGTGCCGTATATAACGGTGTACGATAAGCTTTAAAAAGTGTCTTTTTCACTTCATCTGTACATGCACCAAACCTGCGCACAAGCCTATTGGTCTGTGCATACATCATGCGGCACTGCCGTAACACATCGTCATCGTCAGACAGGTTT